TCCTCATACGAAGTCGGATTTTCACGTTCTTTTTATGAACGTTCTCGGTTTAACATATTCTACAACTTTTATTTTGATTGTTAAGGCTAAAAAGCCTTTTATCGAAAATTCTCTTTTTACACTGAACAGTGTTTTGCTGGTTTTACCGTGGATTTTCGATTGGTCATAACTTCTTCGTTATAACTCAGATTTCAGTGTTCTTTATGTTTTTGGAAACCTTGTTACAAACTCTACCACTTGGTTCATCCCAATTACAATTATTGATCAATTTATTTTTGACCAAAATTTGACTGGTGTCACACCTATGACACAGCTGCCAATGTTATCTATTAGGCACAACTGCCAATATTATCATTTAGGCACAGCTACCAGGATTATGGCATTCTCTATTAGGCGCAGCTGCCGATATTATCCTTTAGGCGCAGCTGCCAGGATATTTAGAGTACATCTGGTAAACACGTAGTTCAAAAATACCTACTGAACACTTAGTTCAAAAATACCTAATGAACACCTAGTTCAAAAACACCTACAGGTTACGAGCCTGCTAATATTCCACTGGACTGTCTAGAATAGTCTGTGGTCGTTGTCTATACTCTGCTAGATGACTAAATCATCTTAAACATCGAGAGCTCTCATCAATTTTTATTTCATCACAGATCATCTAATTCATCTACTCATGTTTTACCCAACATATTTGTAGATATAAAATACATTTACAGTTTAAATAAATTAAAACATGTATAAAATTGTTCATCCAACATTGATAGCAAGTATATAGATAATGTGCACACATAACACGTAATTTATATTAAATACATCATATCTATGTGTAAGATGAAAGTAACTATGCACTCACATTAGTAGCGTGATTTGATTAGAATAAAACTAGAAACGGTCAGCGATTCGTGATCTTCGGGCTCGGAAAGGGAAACGACTTCAGAAAACGAGAGAGAGAGAGAGAGAGAGAGAGAGAGAGAGAGAGAGAGGAAAGAGGTTTTGGTGTAAAGAAGCTTAGGGTCGAACTTCCTATTTATAGGTTGGTTTTGGCTCACTCACGTCGTGAGAATTCATTGCTCACGTCGTGAGCCATGCCTGCTCACCCCGTAGACTTGCCATTTGCGTTTATAGCTCTGAAACGTGTCCGGACGACTTCTCACGTCGTGAGAATGATAAGCTCACGTCGTGAGCTTCCAAGAGTCATCCCGTAGACTTCCCATGTGTTTTCTAGGCTCGATTAGTGTCCGTTTGACTTCTCACGTCGTGAATTTCTATTCTCACGTCGTGAGCTCAGTCAAATTAGGGTTTCTGACACGTGTCATGCTCTCAGACAGCTACATCTTCGGAAGGCCATAACTTTTGCATACGAGCTCCATTTTTTACGTTATTTATATCCACACGTAGGTGGAGACGTACTATAAAACTTTCATTTAGATTACTAAGGCTAAAAAGTAATTTATCATAAAATCACTTTTTACGATTCTCAGTGTCATGTTGGTTTTGTCGCGAAACTTGACATGTCATAACTTCTTCGTTATAACTCGGATTTCAGCGTTCTTTATATGTATTGAAACCTTGTGACAAATACTACAATAGTTAAGATTATTTATTCTAAATAATACTTTATCAAAAAGTCATTTTTGACGCTTATCGTCTCTAAATTGAGTAGACCGGATCTGCGGGTGCTACAATTTTAAATTCATTTCCACTCAATTCTGCCAAGTTTTACCCTGTCTGCAACTAAGAACTTTTTTTTCTCCAAATAATACAGGTGGGGAAATTTTAGTTTTAATGTTCCGCGATTTAGCCACTCATGCTGCCATAACAAAGTGTTGTCGCCTGAACCCACAGATTCTTTCAGGATGTTGCTGAACATAATTCCATCTTTATGAATTTCATTCTTTTCACTTGTTATCAAGGTTCTAAAAAGCTCGCCATGGCTCCGCCATGGCTCGCCATGACTCCAAGGCTTGTATGTGCCGCCAAGCTTTACCAAAACGCCGCCTTGACTAATATATGTGTATAAAAATGAATAGTAGTAGAAAATACATATAAAAATATGAATTATATACAAAATTGCCGTCTTAAGTCACGCCTTACAAACGATGTGACTCGCCAAGGCTCGGAAAAGCTCGAGGCTTGACATTGTCGCCAAGTCACGCCTTACGTTATTTAGAACTTTGCTTGTTATATTGTTCCGCACACCTGTAATCGCTTTCTTTGAAAAGTAATCAAAAGGCTTTTGGGAAAGGTTATGTATGCTTATTACAACTTGGCACTATAATGTTTTGTGATCCACCTTCAACTGCCACCACGACCTCACTATTAAATCAATATTGAGGGCACGAAGAGAACCAACTTTAAGTCCCATGTTCTCTTTTGATGCAACCACTTTTTTTCATGAGACCCAATAAATTTTAGAGTTTGATTCATGGTAGCCCATAAGAATTTCCTCAAGATCTTTTTACGATTTTCCAGTACTAGTGGGTGCTTAAAAGAGGGAAAGATAATAAGTTGGTAGATTGCCAAGCACCGAATTTATGAGTGTCAGTCTTCCACCGAAAGATGGAGTTTTTGCTATCCATAATGAGAGTTTAGAATTAAAGCGATCTGTGATTGACTTCCAGTTTTTTATGAGGTTCATGTTTGCTCCCATCGGAACACCTAAGTATATGAAAGGAATGGTGACCGCTTCACAACCAAGAATATTAGCCCACCTATTAGTTTCACTAGGGGAGGCTCCAATACCAATACTTTCGATTTATGATAGCTGACTTTTAAACAGGAGGACATGTGAAAGCAATTGAGAATTTGTCAAAGATTTTCATGTTTGATTGATTTGATTTATTAAATACTCATAATAAACTTTAATATGTTTCTAATAAAATTATATATTAAAAATGTTGATGTCAAAATATTTAAATATATACAAATAAATCGCCTTTTGTTTTTAACTACACAATTGTTAATGTGATTAGTGAATTTGTTTTAATTCTCGAATATGAAAATTATAATGAACAAAATGATATTTCTATACATTATTGAAGGTTAATATAAAGGGAATATGACTTATTAAGGTAAGTAACTTTTCGGTATGTTTACATCTGGGTAACTATCTTTTTTTTGTACACATCTAGGTAACAAACTTGTTGAAAGTGTTCACATATGACCATTATG